GGGCACCCACCCAGAACGCTGACGAAGGCGTTGGCCAGCAGGTAGCCGTGCTCATTGGAGGTGTTGCACTGGTACACGGCCCTGCTGCTGATCTGGGTGTCCCGGAAGATGATGGTGTCCCCAGCCACCTCGCGGTTTGGGTTGGGTGGTGCCGCTACAGAGAGGAAAGATGCTTCTTGTGAGAAATGGGGAGGGCAGGTGAAGGGAACCTGGAGCTCTGTCCAGGGCTCCCCAGCAGGACTGGGAGTCATGGAAGCAGCAGCGCTGGGTGGCTCTCAGAAGACCCGGCTTCCGGCCCCACCACTGCATGGCTGGGTGACATTGGGCCCATCATCGAACCTACTAGAGTTTATTTGTCAGTCTGTCCAATGGGGATATGAATTCCTGCTCAAGTTATGTAACAGCTGGGCAGGTGTGGCTTGAGTGCATCAGCTGGGACAACAGAAAGGGGTCTGAATTCTAACCACAGTCCTGCCAGCATCAGTTTCCTTGTTGGCAGAATGGGGACAACTATCACCTTGTGGGGCTTTTATAAGGATGGCCTGAGCTTTTATGCAAATGTAAAGTCACTGGCAGAGGGCCGGCCCATACTAATTATTACTGCTGTTATTATTTTAATATACTTAAGTGCATACACTTAAGCCTGTCTTGAAAAGGGCAAAGCAGCATGGAACCGGGTGGGCCCTGCCACTTGCCCATCCTCAGAGCAGAGCACCCTGCAGACATTCACAAAGTGAAACACGAAGGCTGGTGCCTGCTAAAAGCTGCATAAGTCCTTCTATTTGCCAAAGCTACCCGATGGTCCCTAGAAAAGCATCCTGTGCTCAGAGAGAACATTCTCCGCTCAGACCTGCGGCGCGTCAGGCTGGGACCCAGGGCAAATCGACGTCTTTCTGGGCCTCATTTCCTTCATGTGTCAAACGGGGAAGAATTACTCCCACTGTTCCCCCATCTAAGGGGGGCTCAGAGAAGAGAAAGAGAACGAGCTGTACAAATAAGAGTTTTCTGGAAATGTAAGAACTGCCGCTTTTCTCATCTTTCATCACCAGAAGGTGACTTCCGTCTGTAAGATTTCTGGACTGGGCCAGATGACTTGGCTTACGTGGCCCGTGACCTCACCCAGGATCACTCAGACCGACAGCGGCAGCCGGCTGAGAGGACCCAGGGTCTGGCCGCATGGACGCCACTCCACAGATAGCGAGTCTGGGCCCGGAACTGGGGCATCAGCAGCCGGGAAATGAAGACAAGGTCAGTGTCCTTATCACCTATCCTCACTCAGCAAAAAGGCACCAGTAAGGCAATGCCAGCAACTTTAACACCTCCTTGCCCAGCAATTCTTATGGACCCAACCTTCCTCCCAGTCACTCTGGGTGATGGGTGCCCTTTCCGGGGCCAAGGCTCAGCTGCAAGTCCTGGGTGCTGTGAAATTTAGAGGCTTTGCTTGCCTTTCCCCAAAGGGCACAAAGCAGAGATTTTATGAAAAACCCAAGGGAGCAGAAGTCCCCTTAGCATAGAAAAATAACCACAGGCTCCTGTCCTCTCATGCAGACACGAGGCAGGTTTCCTGCCTCTTGAGGTGTCCAAAGAGATGGCTGCTCCCTCACTTCTGCAACAACCAGGGCTGCCCACAGGGATGGATCCGGAGCCTCTGATGGCAGAGAAAGCAGTCAGGTGAGACGATGGCTCATTACTCACATTGCAAAGGTTCCCCATTCACCATCCATTGGACAGTGGGCTTGGGGTTGCCATTGGCTCGACACACCAGTCTCCCATCCTCGCCAGGAGCCAGGATAAGGTTCTTGGGTTCATCCAGCCAGTAGGGAGCAGCTGGAAGAAAAGGACAGCACAGGCAGGGGAGTTAGATGGCAGGGGGTGGGGCGGCAGAAGAAACCAGATGGACTTCGTCTAGGAAGACAGGAGCCTCTGAGTGCCAGCCCCAGCCCCTCGCCACCTGCCCAGGGCGCATCCTCAAGGGATGACTCAGTCCAGCCTGCCTTTGGCCAACCAGACACCAGAGATGCTGACCTGCCTATTTCAAGTTCACAGAACAAGAGTTCTAAACCGTGGCTGCTCACGAGAGCTCCCTGAGAGCTTTTAACAAACATGGATGAGGGCCCAGCTCAGACCTACTGATTGGAATTCTCAGGGGAGGCTCTGGTGGCAAATGCTTTCAGAGGTCCATAGGTGTTCATGATGTGCACCCAAGGGCCCAGCCAGGGAAGGTGGGAAAGCAGGCACTGGGTTGGCCTTTCTGGGTTTCTGTTGTTGCTGCTGCAAGATCAGACCTTTCAGGAAAAGCCTGATACTCATTCTCTTAGGGACCGAGTTTTGGTCAGAGCAGAAGCTCATAGCTGGCCACCCCTTTCAACTGTTTGGAAAATTTCACAAATAAGTGTATATGTGGATTTTTCTGAGAAGAGGGTTCTTTGGGTGAAAGCTCTTGATATCCCCTAAAAGATTAAGACCCTCTGGTTTGCGTGTAGCGTTGAAATCAACGTCACAAGTTCAATTGAGTGTGCTAAGAAAGTTCTTGCACTGTGGGGCCAGACTTCATTACCCCAATCACCCCCTCGGCCCGACAGAAGTGACGGGGGTAGCCCAGCACCCACAGCTGGAATCCACAAAGGCATGTGCTCTGTTCCTTACTATAGCGCAGGTGGGCCAGCTCTGCTTTTAGGGGAGGAACATGATTTAAAGAAAATAATTTAAAAATATATATATATATATATATCTTTATTGATTTCAGAGAGAGGAAGGGAGAGGAAGAGACAGAGATAGAAACATCAATGATGAGAGAGTCATTGATCAGCTGCAGCCCGCAACCTGGGCATGTGCCCTGACTGGGAATCGATCCCCGATCTCCTGGATCCTAGGTCGATGCTCAACCACTGAGCCACGCCCGGCTGGGCTAAAGAAAATAGTTTGGGCCATGATGACTCCCCATTTTCAAAAAGAATCAAGCGCAGTACACAGACAGAACAGGGAGAAGACGACACACCATGAACAGGAATGTAAAATGAGCAGGAGAAGGCTCTGGGCGTGAATCCAATAGACCATGAAATTCACCCACTGAGGGCCCAGGGGAGTTTGGTGACGGTCATGGCGGATCTTCTTCCCAACACCCACCATGCACACACACACACTCACACTCACACATACACACACATATACACATACACATTCACACACATACAAACACACACTCACACTCACATATACACACTCACACACATTCACAGACACACCCTCACACACACACTCATATACACACACATACACACACAAATTCACACACACATCCTCACATATACACACACACTCACACTCACACATATACATACAATCACACATACACATACACACACACACACATCCAAGGGTGACACCATCCCTGAGGTCACTATTGCCACTGACCAGTGTGCTGAAGTTTCCCCCTCCCTCTGCCCCTAGCCACCCTCAGAGGAAAGGGTGGTCGTGGTGTTTGGGGCTGGCAAAATCATCATAATGAGAAATACACACAACGTACCCTTTACTCTCACCGAGATCGTGTGCCGGATGCTGCCCATCTTGTTGGAGGCCAGGCAGAAGTACTCCCCGGAGTCTTCCTCGGAGACATTGGTGATACGCAGTGCCTTGTTAAAGTTCTCAAACTTGGCCTTGTCAGATGGAAGGTCCCCACCTTTCTTGTACCACGCGATGTCTGGTGTTGGGCTAGGAGAGGGACCAAGCAGGAGACAGGGATTTATCACAAACTGCAGCCCAGCTATTCTTCTACCGAGCCCAGGACAGCCAGGTGTCCTTAAAGTGTACTTGGGCCCAGAGGATACACGTCCTCTGACAGCTGATTTCTTACACAGAGGGGCTGCTCAGCACAGAGCATCTGAGGGACGTATCTAAGGCCACACAGATTCTAACACGTACAGCATGCCCCCCTCTCCTTTCCCTGTTATCCAGAGAGATGTCAGGCTGGGTCGGAGATGACTATGGGTTGCAGAGTCCAAAGGGCTGTCTGCTTCTCTTTTTGCATCCCCAAATGTGGCAAAATGGAGCACGTGCAAACTCCCTCTCCAGCCTCCTGAAGGGCAGCCAGAAGGGGGTGAAATGGTACGTACACCCCGGAGGCGATGCACTCCAGCAGGAGGTCCATGCCGCGCAGCACCATCTGACTGCTCGCGGTGCCCTGAGGATACATGAAGCTGGGCGTTCTCTCCGCAACTCCTCGGGCTGAAATAGGACAGAACACACTGGCTCAGCCTCAGCCTCCTGCCCTGGGGGCTGACCCATATAGGCCAGAGCTGTCAGGCGTAAGAAGTGTCATCAGCCTCTGTTTTCCCGACCATCAGGGGCACCAAGGCTGCACCCTCCCAGCCGAAACCACCCCGAGGGCTGGGCATCATTAAGAGAGTGTGTTAGGAAGCTTGGGGCTCCTGCACCCCACTGGCACATGTGTGTGAGCAGCTCTAAGTTCTGAAAGGACCTGCCAGGGGGAGTCCACTTCCCTCACTGTTCCCTGGAATGGGGGATGGGGCTGCCTGAGCAATGAGTGGCTTATTCCCTGAGCATCTTGTGTTGGGACCCCAGAGGCCAAATGGGTGAACCCTGGGAGGCCACCTCAGCAGCAGTGGGAGGAAGAGAAGGCACACAGAGGTCACACGACAGCCTGCTCTTCGGGACCCTGGAGACAAGAAGCTGAGATGAGGCCACGGAAACCCAGATGAACAGTCAGAGATGCAGGGAGCGTTATTAATGGTTTAGCAGAGACATGGAGAGAATTAATGAGCAGAGATGACAGGAAATCACTTCTGAGGCCAAGACCATTCTGCTCTTCACTGATGACTTTGGAAGGGAGCTGGGGAGGAGGGTGTTAATTGCATGTGAGATGCTGGGGGAGGGGGAGAGGCAAGCGGCGGCCAGGATGGAGGCGATCTACAATTCAACTACGCTGGAGTAGCCACAGGGTCTGAAGTTAATGACACGCACAGGTTTGAAGCCAGGTGGCCCACAGAGATTGACACTGTTGGGGCGGCTGTTTCCCAGTGGAAGGGGTCGTGCAAGTCTGGGCACACCACAGCCGTGGAGCCCACCCACCTGAGCCTCCCGGCTCCCTCAGAGCTCTTTGTGGTTCTGTGGAAATGGATATGATGGAAGGAAGGGGAACACGGAGTTTCCAACCAGGAGCCGAAACAAAGCACAGGGAGGCTGGAAGAGGCACCTCTGCCCAAAGGTGTACAAATAAACGTATGAGCTGAGCCTACTCATGGGCTTAATGGGTCTTTGACTCTGCTGAGAGGTGAGAGGTGGGAGGAAGGCAGAGCTGCCAGGAGCTGGGAGCCCTCAGAATGCCAGCAGGGAGAGCAAAGGCATTTTTCTGGGTGGGGGGCTGTTAATGAATGCTGGCAGAGAGGACAGAGTGGCAGGGGGAGCTCCGTCTCTGTGACACTGGTGTCCCCTAAAGGAGCTTGTTGGACTCGCCGATGCCTGGCTGCATCAGCGGAGCCCAGGCCTAGGGGCCCGCAGCCTCCTTCCATTTGCCCTCGGGGCAGCGCGTTTCATAGAGTCTGCGTCTGCTGCACACTTTTGTCAGGGGAAGAAATGATGAAACACGTGCAAAGGGAGTTAGGCTGCTGCAACAGCACACGGCATATAGCAAGTGTTCAATAAACGCCCATGGGACGAACAAATTCAAGAGGATCAGAGGACAAAGAGAAGGCGACAATCCCCCTCCCCCCGCCCCGCAACGTCATTTATCCTTCTGTAGATGTCATCTGTCCCACCAGCACACACATATACAACAGGGGCTACTGAAGGGGTTAATCCATTATGTGGTTAATTGGTTACCATCCATATATCTGTAAATCTCGTAGCATACAGCTCTCAGTAGCCAGAGAGCCTGTCACCAAAGCAGCAGCTTCCTCCCACCCATCGTCATGGAATCACCAACACAGACAACACAAGGTCAAGGGCACCCTGAGGAGAGGGAGATTTTGAGCAGGAGGCTCTGGTGTCAGCCTGGCGACTCTATCGAGAGCCAGGAACCCTAGGATTATGTAGGAGAGGTCCCAGCTCAGCTGGCATACTCCTTCCTGCAGGGACACAATCTGCAGAAACCAATCTGTGACCCTGTGGACATTTAATTCACACCATAGCACGAGCACCGCAAGCACACATGACCAGCAAAGCATTAAGTGTGGGAAGGAGGAAGAGTGAGCACAGAGACCCGCTGTGGGAGCCTTGACATGCTGTGGCTGTGACTATAAAACAGTTATAGTGCCGGCCAGAGTGGCTCAGTTAGCTGAGCACTGTCCTGTGCACCGAAGGGTTGCAGGTTCGAATCCTGGTCAGGGCACATACCTGGGTTGCAGTTTGACTTCCAGTCAGGGAGCATATGGAAGGCAACCGATTGATGTTTCTCTTTAACACTGATGTTTCTCTGTTTCTCTCTCTCTCTCTCCTCTCTCTAAGCATGTCCTCAGGCGAGGATTTTAAAAAAGGTTATAGCAATACTTCATATAGGATGTGGGCTAGCAACCACAGAATCATCTTAAAAGGGGAGAAGCTACTGGGAAACAAACCAACGCTCAAAAAATATAGCGACAAGCATCCTAGAAGTCAGAGGTAACATTCGGGGCCGCCATTTGGTGAGCATTCGCTATGGACCAAGCCCTGTGCTAGCAACTCTGTTTATAGCACCATCATATTCAATCCTCACAACAAACCTGGGGGCATCACCCCATTTTCAGCAGAGAAAACTGGGGCTCAGTGACATCAACAGTTATGTTTCAGATTCTGGACCACTCAGCACCCAAGCTTTTGTTCTCACATCTATTCTAGATTGCCTCTCTCTTTAAAGATGGATGCCTCACTTGTCCCTACAGCTGCTTCGGTTTCATGTTCAAACCAAAGAAAAACAAAATCCAAGGGCAAAGAGGTGAAGGGAAAGATATTTTTGTCTCAGTGAGTTGCGGCGGTGAAACTCTTCCCCTACTGCTACAGAAGAGACATGCCATGTCACAGCAAAGCAGAGATGCACTGGGCATTCTCATTGCACGGTGTCTCTCTGTTCAGTTCTCTGCACTCAGAAGGATCTAATGCTCTTCCCTTTCTTTTCACTTCCTCTTTCTTTCTAGAAGCATTCAACATAGCAGTCCTTTGTTCAACACGTATCTCACTTTGACTTTATATCCTATCCAGTTGCTATCATGCTTGGTTAGCCCCTTTCTACCTTGGATTCAAGAGAAGGGGTTCACTCTCATGTTGAGGCAGGATAGTAAGAAGCTAAGAAAATTCCTCGGCAGGTTGAATGAGTAAAGTGAGACAGAGCGCTGAACAAACTGGCTGAGCAATTCGCAGTGAGATGAGAAGGTCACCAGGGCAGAAAGCCCCAGGCACCTAGCAATGGGCAAAACTGGTGCAGGATCTCACCCCTGGCATATCACTGGTCATGCAGTTTAGACCGCCTGATCTTTCCTCCCTAGAGATAACATCTAGGCTCAGTTGTATTTCAGCTCCAGGCCCAGAAAAGCAGCAAAGCCAGGCAGGCGATGCCAGGACCAGATGCAATAACTAATGATCCTGGTGTGGAGACCAGGACCTTGAAAGGGCACACCTGGAAAAGCTGATGAATATTCTATTGAGATCCTCCCTTGAGACTGCCCCTAAAATCCCTGCCTTTGGAAAGAAGATAAAATCCTTCAAGACAAAGAAGCCAGTGCCCACTTGAATCTCCTTTTTGAGCGAATTATCTTTCTCTTAAACTCTAAGGGTCCCCATGATACTTGCAACCAGGAGAGCAATGGGCGGTGGCAGCTCATCCCAGGCTAACCCCCGAACCTGTCTCCAAGGCTGCACTCTCTCTGACTTTCCAGTGAGCTGGCAACAGCCCTGCCTAGGCTCACTTCCTTCCTATAACATTTCTAGAGAGCCAAAGCAGCCCCGCCTAGGCTCTCTCCTGTTGCTTCTTCTGTCCTAAGCCCTTCCTTGTTTCACTGTCCCCAGCTTTAATAAACATCCTCTAAAAATCACCTGGACTCTGCCGGTGTGGCTCAGTTGGTTGGGTGTCGTCCCTTGCCGGTTCGATTCCCGGTCAAGGGCACATCCCCAGGCTTCATCACGGGTAGGGGGCATGCAGGAGTCAGCAGATCGATGTTGTACTCTCACATCGATGTTTTCTCTCTCTCTCTCCCTCTAAAAATCAATAAATGATTCTTAAAACAAAATCACTTGGACTCGTTTTGTGAAATCTTTCCTGCACTAAGTCAAGAATCTACACACTACAGGCTGGCCTCAGGCAGACCCACTCTGGGCTGGTCCCTTTCTGGTAACAGTGTGAGCACTTGTGAGTTTTGCCTGGTTTCATAGCCCTTGATGGTTCTTACAACTCCCACTCATTCACAGGTAATAGTATCTACCACTGGTCACAAACTCGTTTAAGTGGTTGGAATTACTCAAACTTACTCCATTGATAAAACAACTCTCCATGCATGTCCCCTGAACTGTTTATCTTACATAAAGCGAGGAGCTGGGATCAGACGGCCTCCGGCTTTAAGACTACTTCTATAATAGATTACCCAGAATCCAACTCAGAAAAAAGCAAATTCCACACCAGTGCACTGGGGATCCTGACACAATGATGGTTGGTCCATCATTTTGAAAACAAACAACACCCAGAATCCAGCAAAGGTCCCTGCTTCCTTAGGCAGTAAATCTCTTTGGCAGGATCTCAGTGTGGCTCTAGCTGCTTGGTGCCAAGTTAGAGCCTTTGCCTCTCTCCTTGGCTCTTACTCCCTCATCCCATCCCCCACTCCAGACAGATCATTGTTTATATTAGCACATCACAGTACAGACACTTCCTATCTAGCTGAGCCCACAACGACCCCCCTGGGGACATGCAGCCTCAGCTTTGGAGGCTGACTGATGATGGGGGCCAGCTGTCTTGCCAGAGCCAGAAAATGAGAATTCCTCTGGCTGCTCAGGGAAAACAAGGCTTTCTTGAGCCGTGGTGGGAGTAACTCAGGTGTGGAAATAGCCAATTACTCCACTAATCAGCTTGAGCAACCAGTTGTGTGATGAGTTAGAAATATGCCTTATGGAAATTGTTCCATGACTTGCAGATGTGTGGGCACTGGCTTTGTGTGGACTCCCCGAGGAGAGAGGAGGCCCAGGGGCCAGTATAACTTCATTTATACTCACCTGGAAAGATACTCAGAGCTAGACTCTCGCTCCTATTTCCCAGATGGATTTTAAAGAGACAGGGACCTGTGACATGGTATCCCTAGTAGCTATGGCTAGACAATTCATACCCAGACATTTAAAGAGTTAACAAAACACACTGCAAAGCTTTCTGTGCTTTTTAAACCACTAATAGGCTCAGACTTACTGTTTCCTTCTCACCTATCCTCAGATATTCTCCGCCCACCTACTACCGATGCCTAAGTTTCTACTGAACCCTCCAGCCACCTCTTTTGAAGTCCTACCCTGGTCTGACCAACTTGTCCAGAATTCAGCAGCTGGAGGCCTGCATGTATGAGGAGGCCACACCACCACATGAGCCACCTCAGACTCCCAACTGGCCACTGTCTTCCTGGCAAACAGTGTTCTGGAGGTGGCGCCTTGGCACCCTGGCCTGGCCAACTGTCAGACCTGCCACTCAGCACGAGTTAATGACATGGTGTCAGTCAAGTTAGGCAAACTGGGGTTACGACAGGCAAGGTTACTCCCGAGGTTACCACAGCGACTCACCACTGTACATGTCAGGGTGGTTTCTTAAGGACGAGTCATTATAGGGGTGGTCTGCAATAAACAAAAGAGGGTGAGCAAACAGGAGGCCATGGGAAGTCACAGAGGCATAAACGGGCGAGAACAAACAGAAATGCAAAGCCACGAAACAACCGGAGAACCACCAGTGGTCTTTTGCAAAGGAAAGAGGGCGTGTTTGGAAAGGAAAGAAGCTTGGTGACGAAGGAGCAACACAAAACAGCCCAACAAAGGAAGAAAAGGTTAAATCCTGCAAAAGAAGGCAATAAATAAATAAAAAGTTTCTCTTTTTAATTAAATAAATTAGGCTTGACCCTTAATTGCTTGGTCCTACTATATTTTCAAACAAATGAGCTGAGGATTAGTGGTATCCCGTGGCAGTCTTTTGAACAACCGCTTCCCATCAAAATCCTTAGTTGCCAGGTCTCTGGATCAGGCCAGCTCTTGGGTTAGCTAAAGAGAAAGGAGCGTTAGTGAGCCCTGGGGAAAGAGCAGTCCGACCTGAGCAGAAGCTACGTTGCAAGGGGCAGGAGATACATGAGAGGAGGAGGCAGTCCAAGAGAAACAGTTCATCAGCAGGGTGGGAGAGAGGGACCCGTGGCAGCACCCAACAGATGCGTGCTGACCAGCAACAAGCACCCCCAACCTGACCAGCGGGCACCACCCTGGTCTCCGAGATGTGTCTGGTGGCAGAAAGGCCTCCTTCTGAGGAGGCAAGGAGTGGTCCAGGGAGGCAGGGAGAGCTAGGCTGAGGTTCAGACTTTAGGATTAGAAAGAGAGTTTGGGCGTGGGGGAGAGGAGGAAAGAGAGAGAGAGAGAGAGAGAGAGGTGTGAGTGCTTTGAGTTCTCTACTGTGGACTAGGAAAGGCCTGCTGACTAAGCAAGAGGCTCAGAACTCTCTAGACTGTCTTGGGGTGAAGACATTTCTTAAGGAGCAAGTCCTGTGGCCTCGGTTCCAACACTAGGCAGTTAAAACCCTTGGGCATTTAACCCTCGGCAAGAAAGATAGTTTGAAGTAGGGCACATATCATGCCAAGATCCTCAAGCAGCTTTTCATTCTTGTACCACTGTCCCCTCCAGCTACTGAGTTCAGGTTTTGATGGCACCACAGAGGGTGGGGGTGGAGAAGCAGACTGGCAGCCAAGCAGACAGCCCTGAGAAGCAGGAACGGTCCAGCTCCTGAGGGACAGGAGCCCGCCAGAACAATGCATATTTGAGAACAGCTCTAATCCGGTCACAGCTGACTGTGGAGGCTGTGGCCTTCTTTTCTGGGACTGCACAGCATTGCACCCCAAATCTGCTCACGCCCAGCAGGAAGATGCTCAGTATTTAGAACTATCCCTTAAGACAGGGTTTGAGGTAGAAGACCTAGCTGGTGTTTGGGAAGTCACTTCTAGTTTATCTGGAACTAAGAGTGGGACCTGACCTGCAGGGAAAGAAGAGGCAGAGTGGCAAAGGGTAGGCATGGCTGTGACTGCCCTTAGGGGGTAATGCTCCTCTCCTGAGGGAGGGGACGGGGACACACATGGATGACAGGCTCTTGTTTCATGCTCCCCTCCAGAGAAGAGACCCAAGCTCAGAATGCACCTGTTTGTGGATTCGGGAGCACATCTGAGAAATTCAGGGAGACCTTTGACTCCTCGAAGAGTGTCGCTTAGACAAGAGACAGTAGGAGGAAGCAGGGTCAGTGCTCCTGTGTCTCTTCACGGAGACTCTCCTTCTGCACTATTGCTGCCTCTCGCTGTGCCAGAGGCTCCGGGAGAGATGGGAACCTCTTCTACATGGGCAAAGTGGGGCAGATGAGCTTGGTTAGCCGACTCACTGCATCCCAGAACAAACTTTAAGACTGCTTGTAGATGGCCAGTATTGTGTGTCAGCTAACCCTCCTTTACTGCAGATAATACAAAATTGACTGTGATGAAATTCATTTTTCCCCAGCAGGCAAACTGTGACAGAGCCCCTGGTGGGAACTGGGTCCTGTAGCTGTCTGTCCCACCTTGGCTGTTTGGCCTCCCACCCCAACCTGGTTCTGAAGGTGTAAGAAAAAGCCTGTGTCCTTTCCAGGCAGGGATGTGGGGAGGACACAATGGTGCTATTTTAAGCAACTGTGGCCAAATGTGGGCACAGGGAGAGAGGGACCCAGTGATGGCACTACAGGCTGTCCAGGGATCGGCTCAGTGATGGGCTTGCTCTTGCCATTCTTCCCTCCCCAACCCCCACTCCCCAACACTGCCAGCCCCGTCCCGGCCCCGCTCCGAGGTCCTGGGCAGACCACACTGTCCTGCCAGCTGGCAGGCAGTCACCCTGGCCTGCACGGAGACACCTCAGACAACCCAACCTCCTGCTCCAGGGCTCCGCTCTGGGTCTAAGTCCAGAAAAAGGAAGCCAGGGATGGGGGAGCAAGCAGACCGAAGCTGGGTGTGGGTGACCCTGCCAGGAACACGTGGGGCTTGTCCCTGGGTTGCTGGCCATCCATTTGGCTATCAGATGACAGCTCAGAACAGTGTGTGGGGACCTGCAGCGGCAGGAGGGGGGGTGTTAGAGGTGGGTAAAACGGGGTCAAAGAGAGAAGATGAGGGCGGGGAAAGAAGAAAGCAAGAGAGAGGGAAGGGAAACAGAGAGCAAGGAAGTGAAAAGGAAAAGGGAAGAAAATGAGTAGAAAGTAAAAAGAGAAAAGCCCGCAGGAGAAGGGGAGCTGCCTCTATGGCTCCCCCGGGATGCCACGGTGGACACGGGCCGGGCCACCTCTCAGCACTGAGCTTCTGTCGCGGGCAGGGGCTGGGGAGGAAAGGAGAGCACTCCCGCTTGTCCCAGTGAGGGGAGTTCACCCCGCCTCGCCCCCGCCTCCTGCATCCCTCCAGGAGGCAGAGTCAACCGCCTGCACCCCCAGGAATGGGCTCCGGGACGCCAGGGTTCAGCCTCTTTCCTCCCACCTGAGAAAGCTGCCAGAGCCCATGTGGTGCCCTCTGCCTGGCTTCCCTCACAATTGCCACTGTCACAGTACTGGAAACACCATTCACAGCTGAGTCAGGCAGATTGAGGTCTTTGGGGAAGGGGCTCTTCTATGGGAGGCATGTTATAATTCCATGGGGTAAACCCATGTCCCGAGCAGGCTGAGGACAGGCCAGCAGGTCCCTGGCAAGAAGTGTGGCTCTGAACTGATTGGCTTCTCTCTCTCCTCCGTGCAGGGCCACCAGCGCTACAGTGGGTCAGGACATGCTGATCTGCTTTGGTACCAGGCAAACAGAATCAGGAATTAAAAATGGGAACAAATAAAACTAAACATACACCTGCAACCTGCAAACAGCGATGCCACATGGTCCAACATACACAACTCACAGACTCAAATACACTTCGTGCAGGTGACCCACTGATTGGGATATTGTGTGCTGTGGCTTTGCTCTAGAAATAAAGGTAAGCAAACGATGACTAGAAATAACGGAATAATCAAGCTGAGAACACGAGAGGGAGGCCGATGAGCACTCAGAGCAACGCTTCTCCGATTCTGGTGTGTGTCCAAATCCCCCGGGAGCTGGTGAAGAACAAAGAGGCAAAGCAGGGCCGGGTCTGGGGACAGCGCCAGGTTCTCCAGCTGATTCTGATTTCCACCAAAGCCCGGGAAGCACTGGCTTAGCGTAGGACCAAGTTGAACTCAAGGCTCCAGAATCAGGAGACGTTTAAGGGAAGGTGAAGGAGCTCAGGCACTATGAGCTGGAAGCACTTCCAGGTCAGCCTGGGGGACGAGTCCCTCCCAGCCCCAGGCCCCGGGCTGCTCCGGCTGGGTGGGCTGCTGCCCTCGGCCCCAGCCCCGGCCCTGGCCCCGGCGGGGCCTGCACTTACTGGTGAGGACCTTCAGGGTGAATGGGTTCTTCTGCTGGATGGTGTGGGTAAAGTGGAAGCGGGCGTTGCAGCTGTAGTCCGTCTGCATGTCCTGCACCATCACGTTAGAGAAATACAGGTCCCCATTATGGCCCTGGGACACCCGCTTATCTTGGGTGATGGGCTCCATGGCTACAAGGAAGCAGAGGTACAGTGGGAGGTTAGCAGTAATGAGAACTGTAAAGATAATCATGAAGTTTCTGGCGAGTGGGCACCTACAGAGGGCTAGCGGGAGCCAGGAACTCCACATTATTTGGTCTAGCTTCACTGTCCACTCTGAGGTGGGGCTTATTCCCATTTTACAGATGAGAAAGCAGAGGACTTAACTGTTCTGGTTGCATAAACAGAGAGAGTAGGATTCAGACTCAGATCTGCCTGCCCACCATGCCCATGTTCTATGACGATACTTTCCTATCTCTCATTCATGCTACAAAAGATCAGACTGGCCTGGAGGTGAGAGGAAGGGGACATGATCCTTCAGATGCTCCCAAATCAGGAATCAAATTCACTTGTTCTATATTTTTTACCCCCTCCAACCCCCAAGAAAGAAAAAAGCACTACTAAACATAATTGTAAGATGCACACCATCAGTTTTAGGATGCCTTCCAATTTTAAAGACGGGAAAATACGAAAATGTGTGCTTTTCAGAATTAATGACATCATGGAGTAGCTGAGAATGCTGACTCCATTATCTATATTTTTTCAAGCACTGTTTCTGATGTCAATGCAAATGGCCAGGTTTCCAGGCTATCTGGTTTGTAAAAGTATACTTCTAAGGCTGGCTTCTCACAGCAAACTCCTTCCTACTCCCCACAAATGTTCTCTAAGAAGTGGTGACTTCTTAAGGCACAAGGTTAATGATGCCAACTTTCCAACGACGGACTGGTCAACTTTTCAAATCATTTATCAAAGACTTCCTGTAGGCCTACTATGTGCAGGTACTGTGCAAAGTACTGGGGAAAGAGAGATCAGTAAGAAAGGCAGTCCCTGCTGTCAAAGGGCCAGCAGTCTTGTAGAAGAGACAGTGGATAAATGACTGCAATGCAGTGTGGCGAGTGGGAAGCCCAGATAAGAAGGGGATGAGCTGAGAGATGGAGCAGCCAGTCCATTCTAGGGGCTTGAGTTATGGCTTGAAGGCTGCGTAACATTTACAAGGCAGAAGAGAAAGGAGCTAAAAGAGGGACAGTATGTGTTGATAGTGAGAGCACCTGAGAAGGAGGGTAGTGGGGTGGAGATGGGCAGGGGGTGGGAGAAGGGATGGAGAGGCAAAAGGGAACAGATCAGGAAGGGAACTGTGCCAGGCAAAGGAGTCCAGACTTTGTCGGAGGTGAGAGAGGAGCCAACGAAGGGTTTTGAGCACATGAATGAACTGTCACATTTATGTTTTTAGAAAGATCAGGAAGGCCAGTTACGGATAATTATTGTAACCCAGGGAAATGTTGATAGTGGCCTGTGCTGGGGAGATGTTGGTGAGGAGGGAAAGAGAAAGAAGGTCATGAGATCTGCTCAGGGGGTACAAGTGTGATGCAGGGGATTAGAGAGGAGGGTCTGAACTGTTAGGTAACAGACCAACCCCCAGTCTGTGGCCAGGCAGCCTTCCCCACAGATGAGCACTGTGAGAGGAAGAGAGGCGCAAAGCCACTGTCACTCTGCAAAACAACTCACATGCTGCCTCACTGACAAGGCAGCCTCTTTAGGAAGCAGGCTGGTAAGAATTCAGGAATGGAGAGAATGGTGGCTAGACAGGAAGGCAGGAGGGTGTTCACATTGACAGGTGGAAGCATACATAAGAAAGGAATGGAAGGAGAGGGAAGGGAAGGGAGAAGTGGAGGGAGGAAGGGAAGCCAGGAAGATAGATAGCAGTCACCTTCATAATCCCCCCACCTTTAGTTTGATTGAAAACAGAGGAAGAAACTGAGGTCCAGAGTAGTTAAGAGCCTCATTCCAAAACAGAGCTAGGACAAGCTCTGAACAATGGTACACTGTCCGCCTGCCAAACATCCTACCTCCCCATCACCCCTTTATCGGGGGTTTCAGTCCTGCATACCCCACTTCTGTCCTGACAAGAGCGAATCCAGACCAACCAAGGATTGAAAGAGGCTTGGTATCAACCCTTCAACTGGCCTAATGAAAAAGATCTCCCCTCTTCTTCCTTAGTCCTTGTATTTTTACTCGTCATAGTCGCAAATACGACTGAGCACTTACTGCCTGTCTGGTCCTGTTATAAGCACTTTGGATGTACTAACTTTTTTATCCTTATAATAATTCTATTAGATAAGTACGATTATCATCACCATTTTCAAAAAAGGAAACTGAGGCCCAGAGATGTTAAGCAACTTGCTCAAGATCACACAGCTAATAGCAGCGGGGCTTAGGAAATGAACCCAACCAGCGTCTCTACAGAGCCTGTTCTTAGCCATGTGGCCACCTGACATCTGCTTCTCAAGAGCCAAGGTCTTCTAGCCTAGGGCGAGGCCCTCCCCATTTAACACACCCACCCGACTCCCTAAGATTAAAATAGGCATAAAACACCAGGTCCCCAAGACTTACAGCTGCTCATCCAGAAGATGACTGGGGACGGAAGTCCGGGTGGCGGGTTGCACTGGAGTGTCAAGGGCGCACCTTCTTGAACCACCACTGGGTCTAGATTTTCCTTGGGCCACAGGGGCGATTCTGGGGACACAGAGAAGGGTGAAAGACAGATGAGGGTGATGGCTGGGACCAGGGCAAGGACCAGGGTTAGAGGCAGGCATGTGAGGAGGGGAGGAAGAGACAGGAGAGAGGGACAGGGGCCGGGTCCAAGCGAGGCGGAGGAGAGGCCTTTGGTTTGAATGGATGCATGGCGTCAAAGGCTCCCTCCTTCCCGTCCTCCTGTGCCCAGAGTGGCTGGTGACATTGCTCAAGACTCTGGTTTGGAAGCTTTCTTTTCAAGGGACTGTTCTGAGTTGGGGGAGGTGCGCCCTGCTCAGAGGCAGAAAAGCAAGCAGGACACACAGGGCGCCAAAGCACCAACAGGCCAAGGGCAGGGGAGCTCTTCCATGAATGACCCTCCATGCCCCCCCCCCATGTCCCCAGGAGCAGGGATTGTGACCCTGCCTCACGAGACTCACTGGACACCTGCAGGCGGATCCTGTTGGACAGGGCTGTGCCGAATCTGTTGCGGGCAAAGCACTGGTACTCCCCCTCGTACTCCTCCGGCCGCCCGCCACTGCGGAAGTCGATCACCAGGGTCCCCGACCTCCTCCTCATGGACACCCGGGGGTCCTTGGCCACATTGAAGAACCTGCTGTTTCGAGTCCAGTGGAAGCTGTGGACAACAGGT